CCAGCCCTTTTTTGTATTTTATTTAGAGATAGGGTCTTGCTGAGTTGTAAAGTGCCTCGGTAAGYTGCTGAGGCTGACTTTGAACTCATGATCCTCCTGCCTCAGCCTCTGGAGTCGCTGTGATTATAGGCATATGGCACCATGCCCAGAAAAGTTACTTTAGAGACTCATATTCATCACTTACCAGTAAGCTTTTGTATACAAATCTGGTAGTACTCATATTACCTATTACTCCTTATTTGATCAGGAATTAAAATCTGATATCAAGAGAGGAAAAAAATATTTATTTAATGAGATCTAAATATCAAAAAGTCTGAGTCTAGAGATGCTCTTTTTAGATAGAATTTTGGRGAATAGGGCCCTCAATTTCCTTACTCCTATATGCCCAGAATGCTAGACATTTTTTCTTTATTTAGYCAATAGAATATTATTTCAAGGAATCCAGGTAAAAGAAGGTCACACTGCTAACTAATAAGACCTTTACCAACTTTGGTCTTAWGTCTTTAATAAATGTTTACTGACTTGCTTTTGTAGGTCAATCATTCGTCCTTGTTTTGAAGAATTTGTGAAGAAGACTACTTCCAAAACAATCAAGATGCTCTAGTCATTTGATTGCTGCTTGATAAATTTTAATTCCTAGCAGCTAAGATTGGCAAATGAATATTGCTTTTTGTCTCCCACATAGATCTTCTATCTCTTTACCTTGACTGAACTGGAAGACTCGAAGATTAGAATATACTAGGAATAAGGAAGTATTTGCAAGGATATATATGTATATATATCTATATATCTATCTATCATATATATATGATATCTGTCTATCTATCTATCTATCTATCTATCTATCTATCTATATCTATCTATATACACCCATACCCCATATACATATATGTGTGTGTATGTACCACCCATACATGTACATATACAACATACAGAGATATGAAGAGGATGTCTAAGAAAACATGTTAGCTATTAGATAAATCTGTATTCTTATCTTTGAGATTGTCTTTGAAGTAAAGAGTAATTTTTTTTTTTTTACCATAAATAATACTGCATTCCTTCCTGATTAATTTATTTAGAAATTGGCACTGTGATTTTCTCTGTCACTTTTACTTTATCTGGGCTGCAATGTGTGTTCACATATTTCTGAATAGCATTTTTAATAGCATCTTAAAAACCTAGCAATACATTTTTGATGATAGAAGACATTTAAGTCCTGGTGAAATATTTCTGACTGCAATTAGTTCTGTCTAGGATTGCATATTCTTATTGAATAATCACTAATTTCTATACAAATCTTCATAACTGTCTTAAAGCAAAATTACTAAAAAAACAAGACCACCTATTTAAGAAACAGTACTGGTTATAGATTTACTCCTAAATATATTTCRTATTCTTGTCGGTTGGACATCTAACTTTCCTCTCTCACATTAGAGCAATCCAAAGTTGGGTAGCTGCAATGATGAGTATAATTGCATAATTCCCRACTTAAGTGAATCCCCTATTCCACAAACTCTGTTTCTAAACTGTCTTTATTAATAGTTAATTGATAGTTTCAATATATTTAATACCAAAAAAAAGTAAAACTTCCAATGAGTGATTCTGATGAGTACTAATAGTTGAAGCCACTAGCAGTTTAATTTATTGACTGTAACATGTCAGGAATGAGTGTGTAAAGTGAATAAAATGTAGTCCTGATCTTCAAGGTGTTTATAGTCTAGTAGGAAAGACAAACATCAATTTACACTGATTTCATGTGATATAATCTCCAACCAAAGAAAACCCATTTAGGTTTTAATTTGTTTTCTAATCTTTTACTGCATTAATCTCTGATTTTCATTAAATGTTTTGAAATTAGGTAAAAAAAAAATCTTTGTGTCAACTTCACTGTTTTTTTTAGTACAAGCAGTGAAGACAAAAGTCACTGATAATGTTGGGATTATGTTCTGAACAATTCCACAAAAAAAAGTTTTTTAAAACTGCACAAACAAAAATAAACAAAAAATCATATTTGTCAGTATTTTCCCCATAATGCAAGCCTACTTCATTTAATGCTAATTTGTTTTATAACTTTATTTGACAATCAATGCTTAGTTCTCATTCATATTGACTGTGGATTTTTACAAGTGACAGCTGGGATATAGGTACAAAATACACAACTTGTTTGGTGAATGCTCATCGTCATTACGTTTTCTTGACAACCACGTGTGGATATTATATAGAACATTTCTTATTCCTTTGATGCAGATGATTATTGAGTTTGGTATCCGTCTGCACTTTTGGAGTTCCCACCTCCTTCATAACAAACTTCTGGTTTCTTTTTGAGGGGGTGGGTGGGTAACAGGGGATTGAACTCAGGGGCACTCGACCACTGAGCCACATTCCCCARCCCTATTTTTTTGTATTTTATTTAGAGAGAGGGTCTCACTGAGTTGCTTAGCACCTTGCCATTGCTGAGGCTGGCTTTGAACTCGCTATCCTCCTGCCTCAACATCCCAAGCTGCTGGGATGACAGGTGTGAGTGTTGATGGTATTATCCTCAGGTCACCACATTTTTTTTTTTAGAGAGAGAGAGAATGAACGAATGAATGAATTTTTAAAATTTTTACTTTTTAGTTTTTGGAGGACACAACATCTTTATTTTTTATTTTTACGTGGTGCTGAGGATCGAACCCAGCGCCCCTCGCATGCCAGGCGAGCGCGCTACTGCTTGAGCCACATCCCCAGCCCAAGGTCACCGCATTTTTGATGGCAGATCTGCCCYTTTTTTGCTATGCTTCATTGCAGAAGCTATTCTGCCCAGCCCGTGTTGGAAAGGAAGAGTGTGCAGGATTGTGCTGTTTTTTTATTATTGTTTCTTATATAGTGGTGATACTGTGAAAAATGCCAGATTTGCTCCCAAACTGTCAAATGAATCCAAGCCACAAGAAGGAGGAATAAGTGTTTTGCAAGATGAATTCTACAAGCAATATCTTTCATGAGTGTTGGTTGGCATTTTTGAATTTAGCACAGCATCAGGGGAGGTTATTTTCTAGTGAGCAAAAGGATATGGACAAACAAWGAAAATCTCAGATTTATTATGTCTGTATAGAACAAAATCCTGTACAATCTAGGCTCTGATTTCTTCTACTGAATGATACAGAATTTTAGGAGGAGGAAGCATACTCGGTCTCACTCCAAGGTCTCTATTAATAGATATGATTTGTCTCTCACTCACAAACCCATATTAACATACATACTTAAATGCACATACACATTTATATACAAAGTCTCTAGTGATTTGGACAGTGCTATTTATGGATGAGATAGGCTCCAGTTTCTAAATCCTGCAGTAATTACTTTATTTCTTGAAGCATGAGATTTGATTACCCATTTGTTATTATTCATGCTGCGTAATATTTTTTCCTGTCACTTTATGTAGCTCTTCTAGAAAAAAAGTCCCTCACAAGTTAGCTCAGGAAGACCAATGTTGCATAGGTGGAGCAAGTTAGCTTTCACCTCTGCCAACAAATGTATAGAATTTTAAGAAGCCCTAACGTGAAGACTGGGTAGATTTCTATTTCCTAAGGGAAACTTTTACAATGAAGAAGTTTGGTGRTTTAAAAAATATAAGTGATTTTGAAGAGTGAAGCAAATAGGTACTAATTAAATACCACATGGGAAAAATGTAATGATAAGTTATGGTTGGTGTTTTAGTCAGCTTTTTCATTGCTGTGACTAAAAGGCTTGACAAGAACAATTTTAGGAAGAAAAGTTTATTTTGTGGCTCAGAGTTTCAGAGGTCTCAGTCCATACACAGTGGTTCCATTCCTTGGGGCTTGAGATGAGGCAGAACATCATCKTGGAAGAGTGTGTCAGAGAAAAGCAGGTCAGGCCATGACCACCAAGGAGCAGAGAGAAATCTGCTCAACAAAGACAAACTGTAAACCTCAAAGRTACACTTCCAATGACCCYCCTCCTCCAGCCACATCCCACCTGCCTATTACTACCCAGTTAATCCCTTTAAGGGGATTAACAATCTGATTGGATTAAGGCTCTCATAACCCAACTGTTCCMCTTATAAACCTTCTTCATTGTCTCACAGGTGAGCTATTAGGGAACACCTCATTTCTGAACCATAATAGTTGGGTYCTGAACAATTAAAAGGGAATATAGGAGACTCACCAGTTTTGCATATGCTTTAATAAGAGACCCAGTAACTTCTGTGAAAATCTTTTGCAATCTTGARTTCTTCCTGAGAAATATGCTTGTTCTAGAGATACTATGTATGATAAAAATGAACCACAAATTTAGGCAGTTTAGTGTTGACATTGGAGAAATTTGGCTTACTATAAAGAGAAAAACAAAGTTGATTTCTGTTTTACCAATACAGCAGTAGGTTTGAGATGTTAGAGGCCTTACTATACAAGGTTAAATGCCACTGATAGAAGGAAACAGAGAATATTTTGTAACAGGGAAGGAGGATGACGTTTTAGATGAGATTTCAAAGGTATGAATTCTAAGATGTTAAATAGTTAGGTTTGCTTTTGTTGAAATAAAAGATTTTTGCCCAACAAAGGCTGTTATAGACAGAGTAAGGTGCTATTTGATTGTTTGGCAGATAATATTTGCATGCAAAGTCAAGAAGAGACCTTTTTTTTTTTAAAAGAATATGAAGTGATTTTTTTTGAAGAATAACAAGAAAATCGTAGAAATTTAAGTGGAAAAATAGTCAAAGAATATACATTGGTAATTTAGATAAATAAAAGCCTGATTTGCCACTGAGTATCTAAGGTAGTAATCCAAGAAATGGAACTGAATATAACACTGAGAAACAATTGGTCATAATTAGAAAGGTGAGTGCTACCAAGATTGGAGAGGAGAGATTATAACTCTTATACTATGTTGGTTAAAACAAATGGAATATTTTTTTTCCATCTGGGAATGAGACTGCTAGTCTTTAGTGAAAACAAGAATATGCATGCCTTGCTCACTGCCCTCCAAATCTCTCTGCAGCCCCGATGCCGAAACCAAAGAAGCAGAATCAGCAACAGCAGCAGCCACCACTGCCCGAGCAGGAAGAGACTGGAGATGAGGAGGATGAGAGTCCCATCGGACCACCCAGCCTTCTGGGCCCTCCCCACAAGGCCAGTGGAAAGCCTGATGACCCCAAATCAGCTCTTCACAAAGGTCCTCCAGAATCAAGGGGACTGATGATTCCACCACTGATGAGTCTCCCACCTCCTCCCTGGAGCAGAGGCCCAATCTGGGGAGGCCTCGGACCCAGGTCTGGCCCATATGGTCATGGTTGGTGGGGGTTCAGTGCTGAACCCCCTTTTCTGGGGCCGGTCCATGGGGGTCCCTCCAGAGAAAGCTTCCACAAAGAGCAGAGAAACTCTCGAAGGCTCAAAAGCTGGTCTCTTATCAAGAATACCTGCCCGCCTAAGGATGGCCCCCAGGTTATGGAAGACAAATCTGACCGCCCCGTCTGTCGATACTTTTCCAAAAAAGGCCACTGTAGATATGAAGACCTYTGTGCCTTCTACCACCCAGGCGTCAATGGACCTCCTCTGTGAGACTGTGCCTTCCCATCCAGGCTGGAAGGAGCCCTCTGTGACCCAGCGGCCATGTATTTCCCTATAGCCCTGTGATGGCTACTGTGAGGCTCTTCCTCCCAACACCCTCGGTCAATGACACATCCACCCCCATCCACCACCTCCCTGGTTTGGGGTCCAGAGTTGTGTTTCATCACTGGTGCGCAGTACGTTCTGTATTCTGATCCAGCCTCCAGAGACGTGCCTTTGGGACCCCTTCTTSCTCCCTTCAACTGCCTCCTGGATCTTCTTGCCTTTCGCCAAATGACTGCTGAACAGGAAACCTCTTTGGTGCTGTTTCTTGTGCATCTGTCCACCTGTCCCCAGTACTGCCCTCAATCCCTGAGAGCCCTGGAGTGGTTTCCTACCCACTTTAGCTGCTTGTTTTAAGTCCTTTTTATGTGACATCCCAGTGTTTTCAGCAGCTTGGGAAACTCGCCAGGTTTTCTGACCTGGGGTCAAGTTTGGGTGACTGGTACAGAGTTGCTCCCCRAAAGGCAACTGCCCCAGCTTTTAGATTTCGTAGTTTGTCTGTCAGTAGCATGATCCTCACCTCTATGGTCTGTGATCATTGTGCTTTGTGAAACTGCATCCCCCGTAGCCTCTCTCAGTATCTGCGGCATTTGTGTGATTTCCCAACTTGGGAGAATTGTGAAATTCCACAAGGCTGCCTCCCTGGACCTCCCTGTACTTCTCCTGGTGTTGATTATTCTTGGTCTGACACAGGCCAGTGATGTSTTATAAAGCCTCAGATGGGCCTCCCTACCCAGCTCTTTTTCAGCCCATTTGAGTTAGACTATGCCAATGTGCAGCCACCAGCCCTTTCATCTGAATTCTGTGAATCTCCACCTGGCCTATCTTTGGGTGGAACCTGGACAGAACTGTTGATCTGACACTCTTCCCTCACATCCCTGGCACTGGTTGTTTTCTGTGAAAATGGCAGGAACAGGTTCAGTTTTGAACTGGCCCTGAGGAAATGGGTCAGGAGTTGTGTGGGCAAGAGGGAGGGATGAGAGCCGTTGGAGAACTGAGAATGAATTTTTTTTTCTTTTTAACATATTTTTTTATTAGTAATAAACGCAATGGAAACCCCTCAAAATATGCATGCCTTTTTCTCAATTAAATTGTATATTGTAATTAGTTAAATAGTTTCTATTGAAAAAATAACTGTATATTTTCTTAGTTTGATGTTATGGTTGGAGTAATAGTCTTCTATTCCATATCAATTAATCAAAATAATTTTTTCTCTTTAAAAATTCTATTATATATTCTAATATTTGGCATATGATAATCTTATAGGCTTAAAAWTACTTTTAATTCAATGCTTTGGGAAATTTTGTATATGATCCCATTTTATAAGAGAATGGTGAACTCCTATTTTTTGTGTGAATATATATGTCAAGTTTGTGTATTAATATATATGGATACTAGGAATTAATTTCTTCTCTAGCTACTTATTTAGTTATAGACTTACCTTGTGCATTTCAGAGGCCAACCTGCTGTTCACTTCTCTATTTCTTATACTGGAAAAGGATATTAGTATTTCACAATTTCCATTGATACTTATTACCCACCATTTGCTTCATCTTCTGTGTTTGCTGACTGTGAAATTTCTCCATGATTCTATTGGAAAGCACAATGCTGAGACTCTTTAGGTCTTTTCCCTGTCTTTGGCCTGCTATAGTTTTCTGTGTTCTTCTTTACCTGTCTATCTGATGCCAGATGCTCTGTCTCTATCTCAGAAAGTCCTAATAATTTCTTGATTGGGTGAAACTATACATTTTAATTTTTAATTTGCTTTCTATCATTTCAGTGGTATTTGGTAGGGAAGAAACAAACATGTTTGCTCTTTTCTTCATCTTGAACTAGATGTTTCTCTCTTCTTTACAGGATGCCCTCCATTAAGTTAAGTAAAAAATTTGGGGACTCCACTAACCAATCATATTTTTTTCTTTTACCTCAGACGAAACAACTTCAAAATTACCATCCATGAAGCCATCAATTTTCCTATCACCTTTGTATTTCCTTAGCACAAAAAAGGATACACACACACACACACACACACACACACACACACACACAAATACTACTCACAAATTGGTATACTTCTTACCCATAAAATTATAGAAAATTTATTTTTCTTTGCATCTTAAAAAAGTTATTTCAATTAAAGAAGATACCCTATGTCTATGTTCACTATATTCTAATTTACTTTATATGTACTAAATTTATTTTTCAGAAGCAACCTTTTCTTTCTCATTTGGGCCATAGAACACTGAGATAAGAAGTCAAATAAAGGAAAAGAAGCAAACAAAAATTATTCAGAGTAAATATTAAAAAAATCCTGATTTAGAATAATAAAATATTTTAAGAACAAGAAGTTAAATCACCCCATTTTATGGATAAGGAAGTTAATTTTAAATTTCTTTTTTAATATAACCCCTTTATGAGATCACATGAGAAAACTGATGTTAAATATACAAGGCAGCCTCACTGTGCAAACCTTAAGGACATGGGAATGTAGTTTTTTAAGGGAAGTGCAGCAACATTGATGACTTATGGCTGACCACAATAATGCTGCTACTATCATGGACAATCCCAGGAGACCAAAGCCTCCCTTTTCACATCAATCATTACAGGAGTATTGAATGGGTGGCTAATGATGTTGTTGGCCTGTGGTTATATTCATGTCTCTTTCTAGGAGAACAATAATCTTCACATTTCTGCTGTAGCCCTGGGCAGAGCAGCAATGAGAATAAAATTTTCTGTTTTCTGTCCAAAGGATGAAAATGCTACCCCAAAGGCTGCTCATGCTGAAGGTTGAATCCTACTGTTCATTCTCAAATGGTGCTCACCTACTTACCAATAAATCCAGTTTCCAAATTTTTTTGGAAAGTTAAAAAATGATGTTATTTGTTACTGAATTTATCCCAATCTTGCATCTCTTAATAATTAGATGAATGAAAAATTATTGCTGGTAGTGATAATATAATTATTATTGTTCAAATGAAATTTCCACAGTGACCTCTCTCAAAGTTATAGATCATGATACAAGAGTAGTGGTGTTGTCTGACTTAGAGAAGATCCTGGAAATCCAGGATCTGTGCTGTACAGCTGCCAGGTGAGAACAGATTCAGCATGAGAGGCATCCCAATGAGATCAGACCATTTACAGTAGGGATAGAAAAAATAAAAGTCACTTAGTGTAGATAACATGTTTTTCTATAATCTGAATCATTCTTTGTTCTACAGTGGCCTACTGCTGTCTTCTGTCCCCTGAAATATCATATTCTCATATTTTCCTCATCATTCAAATTTATCCATTGCTATATTTAATATTAGTTATTCTGTTTTTGCTAAGTAGAGTGCTGCTGTGAATTTAATCTTGTGATCCTATTCTTGGCTTTTATCTAAATTACTCAGAATTTTTGGTAACTCAGCTTCTCATTTTCAGTACATTTATTAACTCTGTCATATTGGGCAAGTCATTAACTTCTTTGAGTGAGAAAGGTACTTTGTATGTGTGATGCTGTTTTAGATACTGTACAAATGTGATTAAAAGGCATCTTGTCTACCCTTCCTATCAACTCATTAGTCAAAGCAGCTTCTAGCACAATGTCTTATGCATACAAAATGTATTGAGTTTATGATACTAACTAAATTAAGACGTGATCTTTGCCTTTCAGCAGAAGGTTGTTAAAAGTGTGAGATGTCAGTTGGGAACTGCTAAAGCCCTATATTATCTAGATGATAGTAGTGACTTGAATTCTTCAATTCCATAGTCGATAGATATTGAAGGCTCCCATCAATATTTCTGTTTATTCTTTGTATAGAGAGGTTAATGGAAGACCTAGATGTGCTGGTATTCTCAGTTTCTTAGTTTCTTCTCTTGTTTGTGTTCTTCCTGTAGTGTATCACTCAAATATGAATCAAGCTTCTTAGTTAATTTTCAGTAGCAAAATATCAGGCAGACATTCATGAAGGTTATAGACTTATTTCTTCCTTAAAAAAGTAAAAAAAATCTTTAATACCATTTCCTAGTCATATCTACTTTACTTTCTGTATGTATCACCTTCTATGTTTTTATTTTTATATAAATGCTTACCATAAAATGTAAATATAGAGCAAGTGTGTGTGTGTGTGYGTGCGCACGCGCGTGTGTGTGTGTGTTTGTAACATGTATAATAGTTACATGTTTTATATTTACTTAAAGCATTTATACCATGGTGTTGTGGTATATTTCTCATTCTTTTTCTGAGTTCTTTCATAAAACTTTTTTTCATAAGATTCATCGATGTTTATTAACATAATTTAATGTTTGCATGTTTCTCCAGAATTGTTTTATAGTATTATTGGGTTAATTCCTATATTCCTCACAGATTTTATCAATATTTTGACCAATATATTAGTTTCTAAGTGATAATTACTGTTATAGATAAATTCTTTTTTTTATTGGTTGT